CTCTGCGTGGCAGTCCGGCATGGTAACCGTTAGGCCACGGAGGCAGTTCCACGTGATGAAATTTGGTTGTCAGAAATGTAACAAAAGTGATGTCAAAAATATTTTAAGGATCTCTTTCCACCTTAATGAGCAAGTCCTTTGCCCGTTGGAATGGTAAAGAGAGCAAATCCTACCTGCACGAAGTCGTCGAAGTGCTGCGTGAGCCTCCTCCAGCGCGCGGCCAGGGCGTCGGTGCCTCCGCCCATCCCTCCCCCCGCGAAGCTCTCCTCGCCCCCCTCCGTGGCGGCGCCGTCCAGCGCCACCGAAATGCCTGCTGGGATATAAAGAGGGAATCCAAACTAACCTTATAAATGCGAAAGTAACTCTGTCCGTTACGTTTTCGTGCCTAAGCCTCTGAACCAATAGTGATGAATGAATTTTGGTATAGAAATAGATGGGACCCAGGAAAAGGACATAGACAAAAATAATTCTCAAAGGGGGTAAAATAGAAAATGACAAACGACGAAGTCGCGGGCACCAGCTAGTATGAAGTAAATTGAGGCAACAAACGGACACAACATGACAATATTATTGTGTACAATTACGTACAACATTGAACTCTAATTGCTGCATTAACATGTTCTAGTTATTTTGTTGATGTTGTAAATTGTATTATGACATTTTATTAACATGTTTAAGCTAGTTGGTTACCAGCCAAGATATTAACATCAATAACATTCACCATTAACATAAATGTAATGATATGAGCAATGCTGGGCTACGACACGTAGGGTTGTATTACAGAACTCTACTCAATACTCAAGTCAGGACTTGAGTATTGCAGTGAGCACTGAAAATAATACTCAAGTCCTTGCCATTAGGGTCGTATTTCCAGTGCTTGAAATCATACTCAAGTCTGCTCAAATCCTGACTTGAGCATTGAGTAGAGTTCTGGAGTACGACCCTTAGTTTCAGATTTTGCACTACGAATGGTGGAGCTCCAAATGTAGCTCCCAGAACTTGCACGTAATTGACGGTGATGTCTTACATGGAAATCGAGAGGAGCCCGGTGCGTGGAAGTCGCTTTTATCGAAAAATTGCAACGGTCGAGGGCCAGGGTCCGGAAGGAGCTCCTCACCGGCGCGGTGGTCGGCGCTGTCGCTGACGCTGCCGGCGATCTCGGCCAGCTCCGAGCGCAGCGCGCGGACGGCGTCCCCCGCGGGGCCCCCGCCGCCGTCGGCCGCGTCGCCCCCCAGCGACGGCAGGCGCGCCAGCCCCGCGGCGCCCGCGCGCAGCTCCTTCAGCACGCCCGCCACGTGGTCCATGTCCTGCGACGGGGGCCGCCGGTCAAGAAAGCCTTCACACCCATTGAGCCCGGCGCAGAGACTGCAACTCGAGCTCCAACCGTACGCACCTTCCTAACCAACGCGGCCTCCCGGGCCAGCTGCTCCAGCTGGTCGTGCCGCTGGCGGTGCAGCTGCGCGAGGAACTCGTACAGCAGCCTGTGGTGGGCCGCTGCGGACTCGGCCTCCAGGAGGCGCTTGCGCCGGGTGAGGGCTTCCAGCATTGCCTGCCGTTTTTCGAAACCGAATTTAGGGAGTCTACTCAAACCTGGAACTCTGACATTTTCTTTTTAACCGGCTTAAAAAAAGGAGAAGGTTCTCGACTGTATTTTTTTCTGGTTTTTGATGATTCTTTTTTGTTAGACCTTTCTAGCAAAAAAGAATCATCTTTCTGGGTACATCAATAGTAGTCCCGATCAAATTTGAAGAAAATATTCCGCCTCTTAGGGTGGCAAAATAGGGGGCGAATCAGGTTAAGCGAGTCCGATAACACTTGACAAATAGATGAAATTTAAATAAAAAAGCTGATAAGGAAACTTTTGAGGTCAGTTTCTTTTTAATAAAAAAGTTATAATTACATATTTGTCAGTAATTGTTTCGGACGAACGTCGGCCGGAAAATGGGAGTAGACTAGATACCCCCTAGAATTCCGGTAAATTCATTAAATCCAACTTAAAACGTTTGGGGTCTAGATTGCTGTATCATTTAATCAGATGACAAGTAACTTTAGCAAATTGTATGGCGCGATATATCACTCTCATATACAATCGAAAATACATACGCTATAATAGCCTACTAAAACTGACTAGGTGCTCACTACAAGCAAAAAGGAACCTAGGCACCGGAACCGAATGCTCGTAAATGAAAGACTTGTATGTACGCTTGTGCCGACGTCGGTACACTCAGCGGTAGGCACTTATCGCGTAACCTTGAGCGAGTGACGGAGCCCTGGCAGCAGGCAATACGTTGAAAGAAGCGTCCGGGCTCACCTGTACGTCGTGCAGAGACAGATGGCGCGACTCGTTGGCCACAAGGGCTCTGAGCCTATCCGCTTCTCCGGGAACAGTCGCGGCGCCCGCCGCCCTCGCCGCACCTCCTGCCCCCGTCACGCCAGCGCCCAGTCGGCCCCACTGCGCGCGTCGCTTGGCCACCTGCACTCCAGCCATTTCACAATTAGTTACTTCCATAGTGAAACTCAACCCATTCAAGACCATGTGAAAAAATGCATGGCTCACTACATAGAAGAATAAATAAAGAACAATCACTAGTAACCAAGAAATAAGAAAAAGAAACTTAGCTATAATAGATGTACATATTAAAAGCTGACATTATAAGTGGCGCTGTATTGTAGAAGAGTTTTAATCGAAAAGGCATTTGCCTAAGAGCCAACTACCCCACGCTAAGTAGGAATAGTATACCATTTATGCACACATGATTGCAAACTTGCCATAATCGAATGGATTTCAACTTTGGACTAAAACACATGTGAAAATCTAATAAGAGTTCCTAAATAGGGTATAGTAGTTTTTGAGATACCACGCTGATTACAAAAAATAAATAAATATACTATAGTCCATTTGTTTAGGTACTTAACTAAATGTAAACAATCTTGATACATCTTTTTATTGAAACACATGCTTTACAAATCAATAGGTATAAAAATAAGCATGCAATTTCATATGAAGCTAAGTATTTGTATTTTGTATTTGAAGGTAAGGGAAAAGAATTTTATAAATGTATATTTCATTAAATAGACATCTCCACATTGTTTACATTTATTTAAGTACCTAAACACATGGACTATAGTATAACATTTATATTCAATACATATGCGAGCTCTCGTGAAAACACACACACGCACGCACGCGAGCATGCGCACACGCACGCACGCGCGCGCGCGCGCACACACACACACACACACCAACACACAAACACACCAACACCAACACAGAAACACACAAACATACACAACACACACACACACTCGAATCATCACCACTTTGTTTACTATAATATCGTATTTACTTTTAATTACAAAAAAGAAACTAATTGTATAGGGTGGAAGCTACGACATCTGTAACACAGGTCTAGTTACCTAGTATGGACTCCAGTCTCTCACTTAGGGTAGTTAACTTGTAGCTTAATTGAAATAATAACCAATCTAAAAAGTATGCTAACTTACCAGTTCATTAAGCAAGAAATTGGGAAATATATGATCTCTGGACGCCAGTGCAGCCCCGCATTTCGGACATCTTCTATGCAACTCAACGGACTTTGCAATGCATGAGTAGCAGAATGAGTGGCCGCAGCGAGTCACATATGCTTCCTCAATGAGCTCAAAGCAAACGGGACAGAGGAGGTCGCAATCCTTGTCCTCGAGGGAGCCCCCAAGGCCGTCCAGAGCTACTGCTGCGGTGGACGGGCCAGGCTGATTGGAGCCACTGGCAGCTGTGCCTGACATTTTCCAGATCTGTAAATAAAATATAGTGTTACAGTAACTGAGTGAGGATCTAGATTCTCTGTCTTCCTTCTGGCAAACTGGCCTGACCAGTCTTATACCATTCTTGTTGGCATATATTTAAATATGAATTTTAAATTTCAGAAGAGAAGAAGAAGCAGCAGGTAAAAATTTCAAACATTCATCTTTTTTAATAATTGATCTTCTCTCTCAGTGACATGAAATAAATTAAATCAATGGATATTTTAATCTGATCTGGGCTAAACAAAAAATAATAGATTTGTGTAAATTAACTTTGATAGTTTTATGTTGAGCCAACTCTAAATTTGTTTAAAACTAAGACATATTGAGATACAGATATTAGATACAGAAAAGTAAAACCCACATCCTCTCCAATTCTTGTAACTGTATCAACTAATATTGCAGATAACTCCACTTATGCTATTCTTTCATGAGGGGTGGGTAGTTTTGGTTTAAATTTCTTAAGCTCAAAAGGAGAGCTGTATATTGTAACTTCTGCTCTAATGGGTCATGGTCCATATAATAAACAACTTATAAATCCAGGTGTCACGGATAGCCTCTTTGTACAGAGCATGCATAGAGGAGTGCCTAGTACATTCCTCAGAGCCTTCAGCAAACCCTGGAGAGTGCCGAGATTCTCGGAAGAGCTTGGGTGGTTGGGTACACCCACCACATGCAAGATAGGTGCCTGGATTTTCAGTTGCAGACATCCGCCCTCCTCACCGTACAATACCATAGTAGTGTTTAATAAAGCAAATGAACTGTGCAGGATTTTTACAAAATCATAATTAAAATTAGGTTTACAAGGGGTAGGACTTTTAAACTGTTTAGTGCCTCTGCTGCCCATCTCGAGGACGCTCTTGCAGGTAACAGGCCCCAGGTATTTTATTGTTTTTCCAAATACCTTTATTTGGAGAAACAAAAAATATTTACATAATTATAACAACCACAAAACTAGTGGTTTCATAG